ATAATTTGAGGCTAATTTTTTAACTGGTGGCAACTCTTTTTGAAAAAAGTATAACTTTATTGAACATCCGTGCCTTTACTCCAGCCCTTTGATTTAACACCTCACTTTTGAAAATCGAACGAATGGTGCGGATGTGAAGGCATTTATTATTAAATAACTTGAGTGTAATTATTTAACAGGTGGCAACTCCTTTCGAAAAATTAAAACCAGTCAGAGGTGACTGCGAGTTGAATATTGTTCTTAACGATGACGAAATACCCATTCTCAGCAGTTATCTCTGAAAGAGTCCTATAGACTCCCATATCATTGCAATGTTTTTGCAGGTTGAGGTACTATATGCAATCCACACGGCGGCAAAGTACGGCGGGTCGGCAATGACTAACTCGCTATGCGTCAAGGAATGCCAAAGATCTCTCCAAACCCTACAGCAATATATAACCTATCTTTACTGGGTCCTGGGACATAGTGGTGTCCCGGTAAATGAGGAAGCGGACGAATGTGCTAGAGAGGGATCTGAGATGAAACTTGGGGAAGCGACCCAGATCGTAAAACCTCCCCTGAGATTTCTGTCTTCAGAAGTTTTGAGACACCAACAGTAGGTGTCACACGCCCATTCACACCTGCATGGAAGAACAGGGAGTTTATTAAGGCTCTCAAAGCCAAACATTAGGCTTCTCAGAGGAATACTGACGGGACACTGGACCATTGATCACACGACCGCCAGGTTCGGAGCCCCGTCTAACGATTTCTGCACTTCCTCTGCGTGTACCCATCACTCCGAGGAAAATGTCTAAAATTTCTCGGGATCCCTTCTTTGAGAGCCTAGATATCTTAGGGAAAGCTCTACACTAAGGACTGCTAGAATTCGCTAGAGAATCAAGATGTTTCAAAGACTTGTAGGGATAGGCATGGGGAAACTCCCTGGGCATCGCAATGGGACTTTGTGGCCTCCGAGTTTACTCTTTTCAGACCTGCCCGCTCAAACGTTCTGGTAAACGATGAGGATAAAAAAGTATACCAAATAGAAAAATAAAAGTGCCAAAAAAGGTGACTTTCTTGTTAATCCTTCCCATTTTACATTACCTAAAGCCGATTTTACAGTGGAGCGCTATGTAACTTTCATTCCGTTCTTTAATATCTTCAATATTTTAGCAAAAAAAAAAAATTAATATAATTCTCCTACATTTACATTTTGAATGCGGCCCATATACTTAGCTGACGACAGTACTTGAGTTAATGTAAAATATTTTGGTGAGGGCATACAATTTGCAACTTATGATTCGCTTGGTGGGGGAGAACCGATTTATCTTTGTATGGGCGTGTGCCATAGCTATGTGTATTTAAAATAACTTACTTTTCTATTGTTATTGTAGCAATAAAATACGAGTAACTTACATTTTTTATTTGCTCGAATCGAAGACTTCATAAAATATTTTGGCTGTTTTCATTTTGCTCCAAAATTATGGTCCCTTATTTTTATTTCTTTAATTGGTAGTTTTTCCCATCGAGTTCAATGCAACTGTTTGCAATCTGTAAAATTGAATGAAAAAACAGTTATGTATTTATTTAGGGGGAAAAAAATTAAAAAATAAAAAATGTTTAAGTTCGTAAAATTAATCCTACTAATAGCGCTTTTACATATCTCAGCTGCCAATTCAAAAATGCCCTATCTCAGCATATTTTTAATGTATTTTCATTTGATATAGGGCGTTTTTGAACCGAATTCTGAGATAGGGGGTTCTTCAACCAAATTCGGAGAAAGGATGTTTTTCAATCAAATTTTAAAGTAGGTCGTTTTTGAAAAGCTTTCTGAGATAGGGCGTTTTCGAACTGGCTGCCGAGATAGGTCGCTATTGTGTCGATATATTGTTATTAAAAACTTTTAATATTTAATATTCATAAATGGAAATTTGAATTTTAAATTGGGAATATTTGGTATTTAAGAGGAAAATGGGATTTTCCGACCTTTGGAACTGGCAACACGGGCTGTTTCGCGGTAAAACGGCTTAAAGTATCAAATTTAACAAACGGATAGATTATAACCTGGATTAAAGTATAGGATATTTTTTTAACAGAGTTGCCACCTTCTTCGAAATTAAAAATCAATTATTTAATAAGTAAAATAAAATATTACAAGAGTGTCAATGTAAAACGAAGGGGTTCCAAAACGATTTATTTCGAAAATATATTTTATGGGCATTGACCACTTTTTAAAAAGTAATATTTTAATATTGGTATCAAACAAAAGAGGTTCAAGAAATATTATTTTCAAAAATATTTGTAAAGAGAGTTGCCATCTGTATAGAAATTCAATATAAATGCCACTAGCTTAAAATGTTTAATTGTACTCTTGCTTATGAGTTCATCGAAATTTTACAATAAGGATGGCAACGAATGAGGTTTAAGAAAGCTTTATTTTGAAAATATTTTGAAGAGGGTTGGCCCAAGTCAAATTCCATGTTATCGTCAGTTAAATAAAGAATTAAAATATGAATGTCAATCGAAAGAGATATAAGAAAGCTTTGCTTCGGAATTTAAAGCAATATCCCAAATTGCCCAGAAGTGGTAACTTTGGGGTGGTGCTGCCATTGAAAAATTACTCGGGATAGACCTTATTAAATCGTAGTACTTTATTATTAAATTTTTCAAAACCATGATGATTTTGATTTTTCGAAATATGGAAATTTTCCCACGCATTTTATATGGAAAAAACTTACGTGCTCGGTGGCGTTTGTTTATATTCAAAAATTTCAAAATAAAAAAAATACGTATGTATATACTTTTTTGGTATTAGAACAAATTGTAGGCGATTCTTGTTCAAAAATGTTCAGTGCATTCTTGGGCCACCGAGCTGAGCACTCTCTGTGAGCACTCCTCTACAAACCAATTGAACACCTGTTACTGATAGATCTAGGTAACCTAGTCTCCAATAAAGCCTTGAAACCCCTGCTGGAGCTAGTGGCGTAAGGTGTGTTTAACAAAATGCAAACCCAAACAATTATTTCACACACTGATAAAATATGTAAATCAAGTAAAAATAAAAAAATATAAACATTTTCTGGTGCTGTTGTCCAGCCATTCGCTTTTTTTTTGTTTGCCATGCGGCCAAGTAATCAGCGCCGCGGTCAAAAAGCCTGAGAAACAAATGAGAAGTGGAAGTGAATGAATGAGCTCAGCCGAACTGTAGTGGAACGGTGTACATATATTGAATTTTATTTATTTTCTAACTGTTCGATAATTGGCTGGTCTCACTAAATTTCCCAACAACACGAGTAGCGCGCGAAAAGTCAAAAGTCAAATTTCTAAGCGCTAGAAAACACTTGCACACACACACACACCTTAGCATACAAAAAGGAAAAAGTACGTGGTGATTGTGTAGCCTGTAGCCTGAGGTATGACAGAATGTTGCTGCAACATTTTGCTTTGTGCAACACGCATGCATCTGCAGTGCCTGTCCTAGGAAAATATCCGGAATATTTGCGCTGCAACTTAGAAAAGTACTTTGGCACATTCATAAGCATACATATGTACATACAATAACCAAGTAAGCTAAAAAATAAAACAAAAACAAAAGCAATACCAATTACAAATGCAATAAAGCGTATAGAAACTTTTTGCCGTAAAATTGCCAAGCGAATAAGCAACGAAAACAACAACAACATCAGCAGCCAATAAGTGCAGCAACAATTTCAGGCACCTATGTATGCAGAAAAGGTTCAAGCGAAAAAATGCACTGCAGCAGCATTCAGCGATCGAATGAATTGCATACCAAAGCGGCAACCAAGCGAATAACCGAATGTCTGTCCAACCCACCACATTTTTGGACAATGCTGGCCACTTAACTAGCTGGCTGGCTGGCTGGCTGCTTGGCTGGCGCTCGCCACACATTCGCCAATAAAATAACCACAATTACTAGAAACAACAAAGCCAAAAGCTTCCAAGTCTATGGCAGCTAACAGCGTGTACCAACAACAACAAAAACAATCACCATTAGACGCCATTAAGTTATTTGGCATGCAGCTGCTGTACGAGTACTCGTAGCTGCTAGATTGCTGCAATTGTTGTTGTTGTTGTCCATAGCTAAAGCCAAACGCATACATTTTGTTATTGCCATTTGGGCCACACTTGCCCTCACGATGTAAACAACAAAGCTATAAGAATATATATGTATACTAGGGTGGTCCTTAAATGCAGAAAGCAAATTTTTACACCAGATTTCCTAATCCTCAACCCCTACGTCTTGCCGAAGTTATCACATATAAATTCTGGTACCGAGTGGAAACGGTTAAGGCGTGTTGCACAATTTATATGTGACATTCTTGACTTTAGTAGTATCGATTTTGGGTATTAGATGAAAAAAAATAAGTTTTCATTTTTTGACTCTCTATAGAGGAATCCGTACTTTGCCCCCTGTGCGCCACGTCTTAACCGTCTCCAATCCGGACCAAGATTTAACTGAAACTGAAAAAATCGTTCATTTGATTTTTTAAGGACCACCCTAATGTATATATATGTGTGTTTGTGTTTGTAAATGCAGTAACACAGTCAATTGGCAAGTGGTACAGTGTAACGTAAACATAAAAGTTGTAGTCAAAAATAGTAATCGTTGAATATGGGGAGGCTGGTCTACCGGCGACGATATGGTGTTACCATCTACGCTGATGGCTCGATGATGCGGAACGGAAGAAGTCCGCAGAAGTCGGAAATGCAAATCACTGTGGAAAATACAATTTTACACCCACCGATTTATGATCTGTTAAGGAAAATTTACGCATATACCAAAGCCGTAATAAATGTCAAACGAAACAAATGGGACGAGACTGTAAAGGCTCAAGATCTTAAGAAGGAAGAAGTAAGGAAAGGATCTAACCGAAATCATCAGAGGACAATGTACTAAGTATTGCAACAATGCTTCAACGACGGCGTATAAAAAATTAATCTCTGTAAAACGTGTCTGGTTGAAGTAGCGTAGGAATCGATTCACTATTTCCTTGGCGATGTCCAACTGTGAGATTCAAGAAACCTACTTCCTCTTATTTGAATATGCAGCTCCTGATTGTCAGTTTAGACTGAGGCCGAAAAACTTGACTTCTCCCTCATTTGCAAAGTTACGGCCGTATTCAAACCCTGTATAGATAGGTCATTCTGAGTATGGTGTGGTATGGCATCCACTCGCGAGATTCTTTTTGCTTTCGTTGTCCACCCATTGGTACTGAGTTGAAGTATCTTTTCAACGTAAATCTCGTACAGTTCGTCTATCTATCTTCTTCGTTCTTGTGGCCCATTCGAACAGGTCTTACCGAGGTCAAGCTAAGCTCAAGGTTGTGCTGAGTGTCGCTCTACATAGCCGTATTAGTTTTACGGACATCCCAAATTTAGAAATGACGTCTTACGAATGGGTGCTCCCGCGGGTGAGTCGGATTAAGGGACATACGTTGGCTACGTCGAAGTCGAGTTTGGCTAGGTATGAATTTAACCTGCTACATACAGGTATATACAGCGTCAGGTCCAGTGATTGTCTACCATAGTGCCTGATCTCACCTTTAGTTCATAGCAATTATAGCAGATGCTGCTTGTTGAGCAGTGTTGCCATTTTAGCTTTTCTCCGGATATATTTATCTTTTCTATTTTAGTTTAGCCGGAAAAATCTGTTTAACTTCTAGCTAGTTTCTTATCTTTTTTTCTTAAAAAAAAAAAAAAGTACAAACTAAGTTGTTCCTCACAAGAAGGCATCATTTTTACCTTAAACATTGACACTCTTATGAAGTTATAATAACGACCAAAAATATTTGATTTGTTAATTTAGCTAATTTTCTTAGCCGTCACTAAAATTTTGATTTAGATTTTTTAGCTTTATTTTTTGCCCATTTAGCTTGTTTCTCTGGAAGAATTCTGACAACACTATTGCTGAGCATGAAATTTTATTTTATTTTTTTTTACTGGGAGCATCTGGGCCTTAAGATTTTCCTGAAGGGTAGCCAAATGCATGCCAAATCGTTTTTTAATGCTCTTGGTTCTTATAATTCTGCAATTGTTGCTTTTGTTGTAGACCATTGGAAATAAATAAATATATGTACATACAAACACACACACATTTGGGCACATTTATTGCGTTACGGCATTTTGATGGCTTAACATTGTTCTCCACATACATACTTATATTTACAATCATTGCCAAATGCAATTCTTTTGTTGTAGCCAGCACCAGCACCGTCAACAGCAGCAGCAACAATTGGCAGTTGAAATTATAGCTTAGTATTTAGTTATGCTCTTCTATTTGGGCCAGCACAGTTCGATTTTTATTTTACTTTTATTTATTTATTTTTTTAGCTCTACCTGTGCTGCCTCAACGCTCGATTGGTTAGAATGCTAAAAGCAGGGCATTTTTTCTATACCACTCTGTGCAAATTCCTTTTTTGAGTAGCGTTTTTATTTTATTTATTTATTTTTGTTATTTTTGCACAAATATTTTGCTTTTGACGCTCGGTACTATGCTTCGTTCGATCTTAATTATGGTTGTTGCTACTAAG